CCACCAGGTTTTCTTATCATCCATTCTCTGTCCAGATGACACACCAAGTACCTTCCTACCTGTCTCTCTAATTACTGTTGCTGTAGTAGTCCAGTCATTTGGAAGCTCTTTCTTACCACCCAGAGTCTTTAACAGCTCCTCTCTGAATTTCTCACAACATTCTTCCTTCTTCAGCTTCCACCATTTGGTCTTCTTCTCTGATTTCTCTCTTTTTCTCTTCTTCACAACAACAGTCATTCTAAACACAACCATCTGATGCTGTCTGGCCACATTCTCCCCTGCCACAACCTTACAGTCTCCAATCTCCCTCAGGTTTCCTCTTTTACACAGAATGTAGTCGACCTGCGTACTCCTTCCTCCACTCTTATAGCTCACTCTATGTTCCTCCCTCTTTTGGAAATACGTGTTGACTACAGTCATTTCCATTCTCTTGGCAAAATCCACCACCATCTGTGACACAATCCTCAGTTTTTAGACCCATTATCTGGCAGGCGAGCGAGGCAGGAGTTTAAAATAAAAATAATTTATTTTAAACAACAAAACAAAAAGGCGAGCATGGCAGCAAAAAACTTACAAAACGAGAACAGGCAGGCAAAACAGAACAGGTACAGATTCAGGCGGATAATCCGACAGAAAGAGAGGAGGACTGAGTCGTCTGTGCATAACAGAACAATGACCGGACAGAGAGTGGAGGAGAGAAGAGCTTTAAATAAGGCAGAGGAGAGTGAGTAATGAGAGCACCTGGGCAGGTAGCTGATGAGGGACAGGTGTGAATGATAAAGACTGGAGACCAAGCCCAGATCTACCATACGGGTAACCTGGGCACGTGCCCAGGGGCCCTTGACACAGAGGGGGCCCTCCGCTGCCAGCAAATTTTTATTATTATTTTTTTGCCGCAACCAAACAGGCACTCTTGACTCCCCTCATTCATACAGCACTGTGAGGGAGGATGGTGAAGCTACTCACAATAACGGGCGCGATGGGGCAGTGAATTTTCGGTTTTCAAAATAAAACACAAAACCCCGTAAAATTCACATATCTCACCTTATTTTTGTTGCCTTTACTGTGGAAACCTTCCAGTCCGACACCGGAAGTATCAGTACCGCAGGTTTTTTTGTAAGTTATTTGTATTCAGTTTATCAGCGCAAATGTTTTTGTTTAAACGTGAAGTTTACTAAAATGTCCTGCCGGGGTTCAGGTACCTGCTGTGCTGTTCGCAGCTGCATGAACAACCAGACCAAGCTAAGACTACAGAAAGTGTTTTGAACACGGACCCAGAAGAAACCACTCAAAACGCTGTTTCTGTGCTCATTTCATTTTGTAAACAAACGGACTCTCTGAGTTTCATAAATTTGTATCTTGCCTACAAAAAAGAAAAGACCAGAAAAAACCTCTAAAGGTAAGAGCCATGGCGCTTTCTGTGAAGTGAGTAGGCCAATAAACTGTTATGATTGTGCAGATAATACAGGTGATGGTCAAAAAATTAGAATATCATGAAAAATTTATTTCAGTAATTCCATTCAAAAAGTGAAACTTGTATATTATATTAATTTATTACACACTGACTGTTATATTTCAAATGTTTTTTTTTCTTTTAATGTTGATGATTATAACTGACAACTAATGAAAACCCCAAATTCAGTATCTCAGAAAATTAGAATATTACTTAAGACCTGTAAAAAAAATAGATTTTTAGAAATGTTGGCCAACTGAAAAGTATGAACATGAAAAGTATGAGCATGTACAGCACTCAGTTCTTAGTTGGGGCTCATTTTGCCTGGATTGCTGCAGTATATATATATATAATAGAGGGGGGCCCTGTGAGCTTCAGTGCCCAGGGGCCCCGGGGTTGCTAATCTGGCCCTGCTGGAGACTAGAGAGGTAGGCAGAGGAGTGAGTGGAGAGTGACAGAAAACACAGAGTCAGAAAGACAGAAACAGAATCACAAGGAGCAGAATAAAAAATATAAAGAGCAGAAAAGGGACAAAGAACAAATATAAAGAAAACAGGGACAGGGACAGACCCTGTCAGTCTGTCCTTCCTAGTTTCTTTCTTTGACACCAAACCTACCCATCACTTCCTCATCCTTTCTGTTTCCTTCACCAACATGTCCATTCAGGTCTGCTCCGATCACCACTCTCTCCTCTCTGAGAATACTCTCTATCACTTCATCCAGATCCTTCCAAAATTTATCTTCATCCTCCACATCACATCCAACCTGTGGAGCATAACCACTGACAATGTTTAGTATCAGACCTTCACTTCTACCTTCAGGCAAATCACCCTATCTGACACTCTTTTCACCTCTACTACATTCTTTGCCATCTCCTCCTTCAGGACCACCCCTACTCCATTTCTCTTTCTATCCACACCATAGTAAAACAGTTTGAACCCTTCTCCAATGCTGTGAGCCTTGCTGCCCTTCCACTTGGTCTTTTTGACACATAAAACATCTACCTTCCTTCTCTGCATCATGTCGGCCAGCTCTCTACCTTTGCCTGTCATTGTCCCACATTTAGAGTTGCCACTCTCAGTCTTACATTCTTGATTTTCCTCTTCTCCCTCTGTCTCCTGAAACATTTCCCTCCTCGTGGTCTTTGACTACCAGTAGCACATGTTCCACCTGCACCCTTCTTGTCAACAGCTTCCGTGGCGGTCGTTGTTAACCCGGGCCTCGACCGATCTGGTATGATGTCGCTTAGATGAACTTGCATATTAATTTTGGCAAAAGAGTTTTGCATTGGATGCCCTTCCTGACACGACCGTCACCACTGGGCTTATGACCTGCACGAGACGCACTGACTTGTGCTCCCTAGTGGCTGGTTCCACTAATTTTAGTGATATCCAGAAAATAATCAGACCTGTTTTTTATGCCGAGCCCTTTTGACTTTCTTCCTCGTTAAACAGATATTTCTCCAGATTCTTGAAATTATTGATGTTGCAGGATTTCACAGACTGGTTAACCTCCGCCCATCTTTACTTCTGAAAGATTCAGCTTTTATTTTCTTTTTATACCCAGTTGTGTTGCCAGTTAACGTAATTATTTGTGAGCTGCTCCTCCAGTTGTTTCTTATTTGTACCACTTATTTTTGCAGTCTTTTATTTCACCTTTGCCAGCTTTTTTGAGATATGTTGCTTCAATCAAATTCAAAATTACCTTAATCTTTCCAAAAAAAATTTAAACTTTTTGTTCTGCTGTGTTCCATTTTAAACAAAATATTGGTTTATGAGATTTGCAAATCATTGCATTTTATTTATATTTATACTTAAAGAGATCCACAACTATTTTGACCAATAGACCCTTTGTTGATAAACAATTACTTCAGCTATAAAAACAAGATCATAAAAATGTTGTAGGCTGTTTAGTTTTTATGATTTTTTAGAAATTATTGACACATGGACATTGCCATTTTATTTAGGCTGCAATGCATTCTGGGTAGATGATATAGACAGGTTGCACTGGTCCCTTCAGCTTGAATGTTAATTTTGGATATTATCTGACATTCAGCTCTTTAATTTAAACCCGAGTGTGATGACAGAGAGCAGAAATGACTTAGCTTTAGCGTTAGCACCAGAGCTAATATATATGACATTTGCTTCAAAGCTAATATGTATTTAGAGTGTTAGCTTCCGAGCTAATAACATTAGATCTAGAGCTAATAAATTAAACATCACAAGTTGACCATGTTTGATTGTTTTGACTATATATTGTGCATAAGGACTGATACAGAATATGACTTTAAGGTCACATATGTCTTTTTAACCTTGACTTCAGTCTCCACTACAACCGATGTATGTCATCGTCCCACAATGCATTGCACTGATAAAATAACGGTGACATTGTTAGGTGAAAAATGTAATAAATGTATAATTTTTTACAGTAATTAGGAGTCAAACAAGATTTTTTTTAGAAGGATAGAGAAATAACATATTAAGACCAATATGTGCAAGTAGTCAGAGATCCCTTTAATTTGATGTCCTAACGTTTTTGGAAGTGGGGTTGTATCCATTAAAAAGAAAAACTAACGAAGTTGTGCCGATGGGGCGGAGCTAACAACTCTTGCTGCCTTATTATGCCTTATTATTATTAACTCTTATGCCTTATTTAATTACCCTCTGGGATTAATAAAGTTTTTTTTAATTGAATTGCTAAAATAAAACCTTAAAGAGCAACAAGGTAGATGTTATTGTTTTGCGTTGTTTATTTCTATCTTATGGGCTTCACAGCATCAAACAAAATAATTGTTTTATTTAATTTTTACCCTTCGCACTCTGATTTGCTTAGGCGCTGCTGTCCTGAACCCTTTCTAAGCTAATTCTTGTTTTAAACAGCATATCATTTGAAAATATAGAAATCACAAACCAATAGACCGATTTTATGGAGGCCAGATGTGGCCCATGGGCAACCAGTTGACAGTCACTTCCATTAATCTTTTTTAATAAATGAGGTTTTATTTAAAAGAAAACAGCATTCATAGTTTTTGTTTGATAACTCGTGTCATGAGAACATTATAAGCCAATAGTTTTTAAATGTTTTGAGCAGAAAATGCTAATCTAGTAAAATGTTTATTGTTACTCTCATGATTCCTAATGGAAGCAAGAACAAGGATTAAAAAAAACCTCTCTTGATTTTTGAAACATTTGTTGCTGCTGGAGAAGATTATTGATAGACGGGTGCAGCTTAAGCCTTTTTATTTCATGTAGACATATCATGCCGTTTTAGTGAGATCGAGGTTCAGGTGTGAATAAAAGAGGCTGAGCGTGAGATTTACCGAAAAGATGAACAGCTATCACAGATTTTCATCAGTGACCTCTTTTCATCAGCAGGCTTGAATCAAATGCTTTGATTAGTCATTGTTGTCCATTTTATGCCTTGTTCTGATCTAATTTTCTTATACTTGTAATTGTTCTTAATTACACTCTGCCTACTTTCCCTCTTTTGACTAAAGAAAGTCTAAAAATCTCCCGTCTCTGCTTCCCTCTTTGTGTTTTTGTGCCAGGCGTTTGATCGCTCTGAGAGCTCTGAGGTAGCCTTCGTCACGGAGCTGGTGAAAAAGCTTCTCATCATCATCTCCAGACCGGCACGGCTTCTGGAGTGTCTGGTTAGTTCAAACACACACAAACACACACACTGTTCTGCTGTAGTGGACACAGTCCTCATGTTACCCTAATATTCCTCACAGCGTGATTCTGGTGAAAATTTATATTACCGGTAAATTCACAAGTGTTTAAACAGTCTAATGTGTTACACAGAAGAGGAGTTTAAAAATCAAAACTAATCAAAAACAAGTAGAAGATTAAGTTGAGACTGCGGTGATGACAAAGACATTTGCATTTAGATTAAAACTCGCCTTTAGCACAGTCGAGCTACTTTCAGCAGCCCTCCTGCTGATTGGCTGCTTCCCAGCCTGACTCAGACTGTGACCACGGTGCCGTTAAAATTGGAGGCTTCGCAGTGTTTATCTGTTAAGCGCAGTTTGACTTCACGTCATAACTATTAACTGTGTTTTCCTGCATGTGTCATGACATGCTGAATTGGATTATGTTCGAGAGCAGCGGCTGAAAGAGCGACAAGGAGAATCAGTTTCATTGATCCAAATCTGCACATATCACAGCTTTAGTTTTACTCCTTCTGAGCGCTAACGTGTGCTTCTGGCATTAGTGACGAGATTCACTGAAGTAATCAAGAGTTGTACCGGTTAAGAGGTCCAAGTGTATTAGAGTAATAAGAGCTCAAACCTAAGAATTTAAAATTATTTTTGTTGCGTCTCCAAAATATCTTGAAATTATACCAAGGGTTCTCAGTTTTGACCTGTTAGTCAACTGGTGGCAAAAGAAAAGAAATCATATCCACCATTTATATCTGCAAAATTATGTATTCATGCGTCTCCGAAATAATGCC